CAGCTCTGGCCCAGCCCCACCCCACTAGGAAGAGGCTTCAGTGGGCAGCCCACCCTCACCCTGCGCACAAATTTGGGGGACATATGCCCCCATGCCTCCTCTGGGATGCGTGCAGTGTAGGGAGATGCCCCCACCCCTCTGCGCTCCCCCATACCTCCTGGACAAGCCGCAGACAGCTCCATCCTGTGCCCCATGCTGCCCCAGCTGGGCAGCACCTGCCCCTTCCCCTGCCCAAGCCCCATTCCCTCCCTCACAATGGGGACCTGGATCTACATCCCCCATAGCCCCTTCTCTTTACTGGCTGGACGCTGCTCTCCAAGCTACCAGGCTGCATATTGGCAATTGGACCGCTATCGGTCAATATGACTCGTTAATAAGCAGCCATCAATATCAGCCAAAAACAATCTTTATTGGTATACCCCTAGTATTTTAGTATTAGCCTGATTTTTTTTGCCGAGGTCCTACAAAATTGCAACAAATACCAATGCATATAAGGCTTCAATGTTCTCAGACAGCATAAACAAATTACCGTCATCCTTTGGGAAGCTTGCTTCAATATTATCTGTGAAGTAATCTTCTCCTCTGGATGGTCTTACAAAGGGTATTATGCTGTATTAAATGGTGTGCATGTGTATATATGGACAGATAGATAGATATCCAAAATCTTTCTTCATTTAGCTTGTTTCATTTTTACGTTACCTTATCACACGGTTTTATATCCATTTATAGAATGACAAATGCAGGTCCATAAGTGGCTCTTGTCTGTGTTATTTTTTATTAGCAATTCTTCTTTTCCTTGTTGCTAGCATATCATAAAAGGGATCCCTGCTGATGCTTGCTCTGGGAAGAAGAGAGGCATTGGTTTAGTTTTCTAAACATGTATTTTTAAACCAAACACATTTTGTTCACTTTCACTTCTACAGAGTGTATAGCAGGCAATATGATCCTATAAGTATCAAAGGATACCAACATAAACTGTCACGATCAGGGATCCAGGTTTTCTGTTTGCTGCGGAAAAACATTAATTTTCTCCTTTAATGGAGAAAAACATGGATTTTCTACTTTTAAGGAGAAAAACACAGGAAACAATGGGTTCCCCTTGCAGGCTGGCAGAGTTCCAGCCTGCCAGGGGCTGCTTGGGGCTGGGGGGAGCAGGAGGAGAGAGATCACAGGGAGGGGGTGCCATGTACGTGTGTGCACGTGGCAGCCAGGCAGAATGGAGAGCAGCTCCCACAGCTCCCTCCAGGTAAGTCTATGCAGGGAGGACAGACTAAGGCTCCCACAGTGAGGGAGAGAGTAAGGCAGGCTGGGGTTGGGGGCACTGCCCAGTTGGACCACTTATGGGGCCCAGGGCCGGGGTGGGAATGTGGGGCCTGGCTGGGGAAGCAGGATGGAGCCACATGAGGCTTGTTATGCGGGGTAGCAAGAGGACTGGCTCCCCATGCTGCACAGACTCCTGGGAGGGAGGCATGGGAGAGTATGTGGAGGGAAAAACACAGCTGTACCCACATCCTGGTAGGCTGAGGGGGCAGGGGGAGCTCTAATTTTCTATGATAAAAAAGCCAAAATCAAACGCCAGAATATATAGGTATTTAGAATTTATTTTATTATAACAATTGAGACACTGGTAGGTTTCCAAAGTGCTTTAAAATGGTAAATAGATTAATAAAACATTGTGTAGAACTGATACCTATACATATCGTGGCATTTCATTTTAATTGTAGAAAAATGTGGATTTCGGGGTTTTAATCAGAGAAATTTGGATGTTTTTCATTGTAACCAGAGAATCTACTATTGTTTAACAGAGAAAACTAAGGTCCCTGGTCTTGATGCAACTCTTACAGCTGTAAGATTTTGTAGTGCTATAAATATAGCAAAACCACTCCAATTTTAACCCTGTTTCATCCAAGGTCATAGTTTGGGCAAGTTAACTCATTTGTATTACTACAGGATCATGCAAACTTAGTAGTTACAGCTCCTCTACCCCCTTTTAAAGCAATTAAAAGGTATGTCTGTCCATACCCAGAAAGAGTTCATAGCTGTAACAGGATGGTAAAGGAACACTTATTTAAACAAAACAGAAAGAAAAAAAATAAAATAATCAGCAAAGGGGTTTTCAGCTAACTAGCAGAGGTATATGATTTTATTAAGAAGGTTTGTGCTCTTATCTTGAAAGTTCTTTCTCTCCAGTGTCACAACCCAAAAGGTGTGATTTTTATTTGTGTGTGCTTCGGCACTGCTAAATTGTCCCTGCTAAATTGCAAGCTTCCTTGCACGGTGGAGTTTTCTGCTGCAAAAGAGACCCCCGGTGCAAGGGAGAATTTCCCGCCGATTTGAAGCTTTCTTTGCAGGGTGCATTTCTTTGTTGCAGCACAGAAATGCTCGTTGCAAAGAGTTCCCGCCATTTGTATGTAGATTTGGGTCCCATTATTGGCCAGTTCTAAATTATTCACACATGGCGGCGAGGTATTGGCGTGTTAGCCATATAAGAGGCTTGAGTGGTTTCCACCCAAGTTGGAGGACTCCACGAACAAGGGAGGAGGAGACTTCACGCTGTGTGAAGATCTCTAAGCGCTGCAGATCCTCACGGACCCAGTGCATTTGAAGCAGGCTACGGAGATCTGATCAATCTCTAGCCTCTCCCCGTCGCCGATAGAATTCCTAGACGTACCCCATCCGCGCGCAAAAGAACTGGACCCACGGAGCCTAGCAAACTTCGTGTGAGTTGGTTCAGAGCTCTTCCGGACGAGTACTTTCTTCGGCTGACGCGACGGGCTCGCGTGTTCAGAGCCTTCAGCCGGATTGGGCTAGAGTTCACGAGTCTAGAACTCTTGTCCGCCTCTTTCCTTTTTCTTCGCTGTAACTGCAACTGAAGCAAGCTTTCCAGCCTACACCACTGCCATCTCGGTGTAAGTAAACAATCTTTTAAACTACCGATAGGCGTCTGTGCCTAATTCCAGAGCGAAAGCCACCCCTCTCCGCCCCCGCGTGCCCGGGCTGCTGGCCACAGCCCGCGTGCAGCGCGAAAAAGGGCCCGGGGCGCGCCCGGCCCGCACATCCAGAAGTCTACCTCTACCTAAAGAAGTTGTGAAATCGCTATCTGCGGAAGTTTTCTAGAGCAGGTTAGACAGACACTTGGCTGTCATGATTTAGTCAGGAATGATTCTGCTTTGAGCAGGGAGCTGAACTAGATGACCTTGAGAGAGCTCTTCCAGCCCTATGTTCCTATAATCCTGTCTTAAAAGTGTCTACCTGCTTCCAGCCTCTAAGGGAAAGGCAAGCTGTGAACATATTGAATGTATATGCCACTAAGTTTATGGTTTAGCATATGTGAGAGGGTCGTACACAAAGGTTTCTCTTGCTTAGTACCAATTTGGTTCAATATGTTTTGATATAAATGCAAGTTACCTTCCCCTCAGCCAACTATATCCATTCCATCTGCGATTTGGTCATTTCCACAGTTCCAGTTTTAATGCAAGTGTCTTTAGTAGTTGGGAAGGGGAAGAAATGCCAGAAATGTCCAATAATTTATATAGATTTTAAAAGAATGTAATGTTTTTCCATTGGACATCAATAAGTCCCTAAAATGGGAGGTTAAAATATGATTCATGAAAGACCTTGAGCATGCTAATAAACATCATTGCTCAGCAGAAAAAGTAGTACTTTCCCAATCTTCATGTTCAGTTCATAAAACCCAGAACAGCAGCAACACAGGACATTTCTTTAGGACTGGTCACTAGTGAGGTTTCTGCACCTTGGCCCAGCAATACCTTGCAGCTAGTCATTAATCTTTAGGAAAGGCCCTTTGTGCCTAGCCATGGTTTAAACATTTTAAGAAAAGTTAGTTAGTACAGCACAAATGTTTCAATATGTTACTCAGAGAGGAATTTATGTACAATTTCCACTTCAGCAAATCTGAAAGCTAGCGGAGACTTTGAACTTACTTAATAGATTTGATCCATTCTTCTTTCTCTTCTGGGGTGGGAGCAGATATCCTGTACACAACGTGGTTGCCTTCTACTACTCTCCCATCAGCTTCCGTTTTACAGGCTTTAATTACTTGACCTTTGTGGCTAGGGTTATAAAGCTCAAAGCAATTCTGAAGACAGAGAAATGATTTAAAATAAGAACTAAAATGTGGAATTAGAGCTTTAATCTAAGTGGATATCATGTAAAGACCTTATTTACTATGCTCCTTAAAAATAAGCAAAAAATAACATCCTTACTGGTTTCCTAGGATCTTCAACTTCTCTTATGCTAAGGTTTTCCAAAGGAATAATTCCTCTAGGTTCTTTGTCCTAAAAGGATAGAAAAAGTAGTACATTATTATTCAGTTATTTTCTAAAATTACAGATGCTCTCTCTCTGTCTAACAAACACACACATACTTACTGTTGTGTATTCAAAATAATACAGGCAATTATCAGTCAGAATAAACCATCTCCGTTTCCATGTTTTCACTCTTCCCCCTATAAATAGAAGGCACCACTAAATTAAAACTGTTTTCTTATCAAGGCTCCGAGGGATAAGAGTAATTTAGTCTTGTTACTTAATATTTAATGGTTTTCAAAATAAGGTTTAAATGCTTAGTTAAAAATGGATAAGGCACAGATGAATTAAGGTTAAAGTAATTTAAATGTTACTGTAACTGAAGGTCAGAAGTAGTTAAATTATACTGTGAATAAGTCATAAAAAGTAGGTCTGGGAGGAACTTCAGGAGGTCATCTACTCCAGTCCCTCGCTCAAGACAGGATCATCCCTGCCTAAACCATCCTAGATAAGTGTTTGTATAACCTGCTCTTAAAAACATCCAAGGATGGAGATTCCACAATCTCTCTAGGTTGCCTGTTTCAAAGCTTAGCCAACCTCATGGTGAGAACATTCTTCCCAATATCCAACCTAAATTTCCACTGCTGCAATTTAAGACTGCTACTCCTTAGCCCATCTCCAGCACTCACAGTGAAAAATCTATGGCCATCCTCTTTACAACTACTCTTCTGGTATTTTACAAGTACACGTAAAAACAGTAGAGGTGCACTGATACATTGGTCTGATATCGGATTAGTACTGATATAAAGAAAATTGTCTAAATCAGATATCGGCCCGATGGGGCCAATAATATGGCCAATAAATGACTGTGCTGCGTGCAACTGCAGCATAGCACGGAGCAGAGCTGGCAGCATGAAGAGCTGCCTCCAGCTGGTAAGTCAGAAGAGGAGGGAAGGGGCGTAGGGGGACAGATCAACATTCCTATGGTGAAGGAGGGGGCAGGGGCAGGTGCTGCCCAGCTGGGGCAGAGGGAGATGTGGGACAGGTGCAGCTCATGGGGTGGGGGCAGCTCCCACCGCTGCTTGTACCCTGGGATGGCAGGGGGGGTGGTGCCCCCAGATCTGCATGGTGTGGGGTGGAGCAGAGCTGGCGTTGAGTGGGGCTTTTCTTGCCAGAGTGGGCTCTGGTGGCACTGGGAGGAGGCTGCAGCCACCCCAAATTTTGATGCAGCTCCACTCCTAGCCCCCCACTCCCCCAGCCGGTGCAGCCCCAGCTGAGTGCCCCGCCTCCACCCAAGCACTGGGGAAAGCCGGGGCTGTGCCAGTGGCAGCACAGGGCTGGGAGCAGAGCTGCGGCAAAATTTGGGGTGGCTGCAGCCTCCTCCCAGTGCTGCCAGAGCTCACTCCAAGCCCAGCCCCCGCTGAGAAGAGCCCCACGCAGCTCTGGCTCCGTCTCCGGCTCCGGCTCCACCCCACAGCTGCAGTCCACACCCCGCCAGGCAGATCCAGGGGCATATGCCCCCCCTGCCCTCCTGGGATGCAAGCTAAGCAGTGTTGATCTGTGCCCCCATACCCCTTCCCTCCCCCTCCCCCTCCCCTTCCACCACACCAGATTTACCACCTGATGGCAGCTGTATCAGATATCAGATCGGTATTGGCCGACATGCCTCTTTAAATATTGGCTATCAGTATCAGCCCCCAAAATCTCTATCAATGCACCCCTAAAAAAACAGTATTTTTGGAACAGGTCTGTTCCTGTGTGTGTTTTCATATCTGCTTTTGGGATATATTGTCCCATATATCCCAAGAATATAGGATATAGGGGCCATCTTCCTATCTGCAGTGCAGACAATACCACTTGGAAGAGGGAACTGGATCATCAACAGATCTTTTAATAGGGTTTCATATGTAGAACAAGAGTTTGTCCTCATTTAGATCAATGCAAGACTAGGATATAACTACTTTGACATCCCATGCTCACAATGATGTATGAATCATTAAAAGCCCTACTTGACTTTCAGATTTTAAGATAAGGGCATGTGATTGTTGACTGCAAATTATTTTACTTCAAGCAGAGCATATGTGAAGCAGTACCAGATAAATGTGGAACTTCCCAATACCCTGTTATACTTGTTCTTCAGAACAGAACCACAGTTTTAACTTCAAATAGCACTTCTTGGTATAATATGCAGCTGAATAAGGTTAATTTTCTTGTTCGATTAGTTAAGCATAATAGATCTACACTATAAATAAGGATTTTCTCATTTTTCTTAGAGGCCCACCGATACATCGGTCCCATATCAGATCAGCACTGCTATGAGGAAAATTGAGAGTATCGGGAATCAGTTTTTTTTGTCTGATGTGGCTGATAATGTGGCCAATAAATGCCCCAAGCATGTGCACAGCCACAGTACGCACAGGGCCAGCAGCACAGCTCGGCAGTGTGGAGAGCAGCCGGGTCCGGATGGTAAGTCTGTTCTGGGGGAAGGGGTGAGAGAGTAGGGAAGGGGGTGGGGAGAGGGCAGATAGAGTCCCCTGCAATGAGGGAGGGAATGGGAGTAGGGCTGGGGCAGATGCTGCCAGCTGGGATGGAAGAGAGCGCAGGGCAGAGCCATGGCTCATCCGGGGGGGGGCAGCTCCTGCCACTGTGCACTCCCGGGAGGGCATGGGTGGGGGTGTCTGCCCCCAGATCTGTGTGCGGCATGGAGTGGGCTGCTGCTGTGAGCTAGGCCCAGGGGCAGTGCTGGGCTCTTCCCGACAGGGGGTGGGGGTTGGGCCAGGCTGCACGCAGAGCAGGCAGTAGTGGCAGTGCTGGGAGCTAGGGTTGGGGGTGGCTGCAGCCACCCCAAAATTCGCTGTAGCCCCCTTCCCAGCATTACTGCCTCCCATCCACAGTGCAGCCTGGCCCAGCCCCGCATTGGGAAGAGTCCAGTGCCACCCCATCCCTAGCCCACAGTGGCAGCCCACCCTCACCCCATGTACAGATACAGGGGCACACGCCTCCCCAGGGTGTGCACAGCAGTGAGAGCCACAACCTCCACCACACACCCTGCATGAGCTGCAGCTCCAGCCCACGTCCCACCCCACCCCAGCTGGGAAACACCTGCCTCTGCCCCAACCCCAACCCCACTCCCTCCCTCACCACAGAGGCCTTCATCTGCCCCCCCATGCCCATTCTCTCCCCCACCCCTTCCCACACAGCACTTACCAGCCAGACCCAGCTGCTCTTCATGCTGCTGGGATGCATATCAGAAACAGATTGGTATTGGCCAATATGGCTTGTTAAAACCAGACATTGGTATTGGCCCAAAAAATCTCTATTGGTGCACCCCTAATTTTTCTTACAATTGTTGATGTCATACTGTATGGAACTTTTTCTCCTAAGGGCACATATTAAATTACCTCTTCCCTTTAGCTTTTGTATTATGCTAGAGGGTTTTTTTCCCTGTACAATTGCATTATTTTTAAAGTCGGTTTCCAGGAAAGACAAATACAGATAATGTATTCTCATTTTAGCAATAACCAAACATAGTTTCACAAAAGTTAAAATGATTTCAGGGTTATGTCATCACCTGTGCATCATCCATTCATCAACAATTTAATCTCATTACTTTGTCTTCTCAATAGCCTTGATCTCATTACTGAATACAGTGAGCACAAAAATCTCATTAACACATGAACCATCACCCAGGGGGCTAATCATTTTAAAGTCATCACAAAACTAAATCCAGGATACAGACAAGTTTTATTTGTAGCTCCTCCGTACTCAAGAAAGCTGCTTTTTTGTTTAAACCATTAAATAGATCTTTGGCTAGAGAACAATTCTAGGAATAGCCTGGATATCCGGGAACTTTATGTATCAGCCTGTTGGATTCTTGTGTTTTAGACTGGGTATTATTGTGTGTCAAAACCCCCTTTGGCTGGTTACATTAGGTAATTCAGTGCATTGTCTGCATTTACTCAACAAGTTACATTTCCATCATACACACACCCAGTTTAAGAAAAACTCAACCTGGAAATGGAACAGAAAGTGGGAGTGATAAAACAATGAGGCAGGAAAGTAAAGTAGTGTAAAATGCAGTAACCATGATACAATGAATGGTATGGTGAGCTTAATATATGCATTGGGATCAGCAATCTTAAATTATTAATTATTTATTAGTGACTCCCATTGACTTGAATAAGAGTTGGACCAGGTCTCAGGAGGAGTTTGAGTAGTGGAAAAACTGACATCTGCTTTTGCCTGACTCAATTGTGGCTCCATGGATAAGCATCAGGTAAGACAACAAAATGAAGAGAACAGCTGCAGCTCACTGTCCTTTGTCATATAACATTTTTCATAATCTGTAGTATAAGTTTCCATTAGTCCAGTACTGAATGTACTCTGTAGCTACATTTTTGTGTGTCTAGACCAAGTACACAGGGAGATTCTATGGGACAGATGGTGATATGGCAAAATGGAGAGGAAGACATTGTGTTTCAAAATACAAACTGGTTACCACTGACAGAGACAGTGAACAAAGGGATAATTCATAAACTGTTATACAAGGTTAGATTTGAATAAGTAAGATCAGAATCACATATTTATAAGAAGGCCTGTATAAAAGCAGGCATAGCAAGCTTAAAAAACAGTGATAGTATCTGGAATTCAGTAAGTGACTTACTTAACAAGAGAACAGATCAGACCATTTCCAAACAATCAGTCCTTTGCTGGAAATGACCAATTCATCAAAACTGAAATTTCTGATGTGAATGTATTAGTTTTGATTAAAATTTTGTTGTGAAACATTTTTCAGTCCTACAGTGGGATTTCTGATGGGAAGCAGGAAAGCAAATAGACAGCCCAGCCAGGATAGCTGGGACACTATACCCAGGATGTAGGTTCAAGAGCCCAGTTTAAATCAGGCAGTGCTTAGGCTTGAATTTAGTTCTCCTACATTTCCCCTGGACTATTGTACATTTTTCTCTCACCCAACAAACCCATAACGCTTTTGTTCTAGTGCAAAATAGGAAACTACTTGCAGGGTGAGAAATCATTTCCTGGTCAGCCCTACTTACCAATATGGGCCAGCTCCTATGCCATTTGATAATTAAAATCCTGCAGTGTATTTTGCACTCCTCAGGTCAGCAGGTCAATCAACAGAACCCAACACACAATGTACATTTGAAGATATCATTCTAGGCTACAAAAGCAGGGTCTGGT